GGCTGAGCTGGACCCCTCCAACCCATGGCCACGAACTACGGTCTGGTTTATTAAAAGCAAGAAAGTGCAGCCGAATCTATGGTGTCGCACAGCATCCTAGACTCCCCTCGCGCCCTCCCGCTGGGACAGGGCTGGAGGAGATTCTGAAGCGCAGGGAAACTGCTCTGCTTGTGTGAGTGTCTGTCTGCACAAAACAGACTGCTGTGGGCAGAGGCTGTGAGGCTGGTGTCCCCTTAATCTATTCACGGTGCACTTCTGAGCATGTGGTACAGGAAGTGGCGACAGCGCGGCCCTGTTCACCTCATGATGCCCCTCTTTCAAACGCATGCGGCACGGCCTGTGAACGTCGGCCCTCGCACCTCTGGGGTCGGCAGCGGCGCTTTCTGGCGAACTGGAAAATCATTTTCATGCTGCGCGGTTGAATTCCACAACGGAGCTGAAGATCGCTATCTGAGTAATGGCATTTCCACCTTTAATGGTTGCGTGTTTAGTGCGCAGTTGCTGTATCTCGGCATTCGCAAAACAAATAGCAGTGCTAATCGTGATAATCACGCGGCTCGTAGGGAGCCGGTACGCTGCCTGAAGTTTTCAGAGAACTGCGTTTTGCAAAACTTCACCGAGGCACGTGTGCACATGTTGTTTTTTTTCAGCTTTTCTGAGGCTTGTCGGTTCTCGTGCGACGTGTTGACTCGGTGTCGTAGTTTCACTCGTGTGTGTCCTGGTTCTCGGGGCCTGACTCGGATTTCACTGTTTCTCTCTTTGCTGGCCGGCCGGCGTGCTGTTTCAAGTCACCCATCGTCTGTCCCACTCTGCTCCTCCGGCCTTCCGTACCCCGGCAAGGGAAAGACTGCGGTTCTTTTGGAAGGTCCGTGCAGGCTGGGGGGTTGTGTCTAGGGTTTTCCGCATCACCCCCCCCCATATCTCTCCATTTGGACACCGGGAGGCAGAGACTGGACTGCTTAGTCCAAAACAGAAAGGCCAGGCGAGGTGTTCGCTAACCCATGGAGCTTATCGGTCTTGGGTTACACTCCCACTGCAGGATAAACAGGGCCGATCGCATATCAAAGACGTGGGAGGCAGGGGAGGGGGGGTGATCACTCGTCCAGATGACAGACGGACAGACTCGTTTACTCTCTCGTGTCGTCGGTCCCTGAGCCCCTGACCGACTCCCTGACAGATTGAAATGCACAGTTCTCAATAATATGAACGCCAAAAATAATAGTAACAATAAAATAAGGAGGCAGACAGTCCTGATGGTGGTGAGGTAGGACAAGGGGCAGGAGACTGGAACAGGCGAAGGGAATCGGGGCTTACCCCAACATCAGGGCCACCCCGACCCCCCAAATGTCCAGCTGGCTTGTCCTCCCCAGCCCGTGAACAATGACCCCAGCCTGGATTCAAGCTTCCTGAACACGCCTCATAATCCACGGAGAAACACCCCCCCCTCCCCTAAAAACAAGACCACCCACTCAGTAAGCAATAAATTGCGACAACTGCATGAGGATCATTGATCTCCTTCCCGAGCCCGTGTGTGTTTGGCTGGGAGAGGGAGTTTGGGGACACAGAGGAAGCTACAAGGCTCCTCAGGTCCTCCCTGCCGCAGCTCAGCTGCTGTAGAGAACAACGGGCTCCATTCAGACCTCAGGCCTGGCTCGCGTTTCACCTGAAGAACGCTGTCTTGTGTGCTCGCTCCAGCAGCCACATTCTTGTCAGGTTATGCCGATCTGAAACCCGTCTCTTGCTGAGCTCTCTGCATGCCAAATTGCTTCTAAGTCCTTGGGTTTAAAACTCTGGCTTGTGGCACCAGCTCGGTCTAGTTACTGTGTTTGTGGGGTCCTGCCTATAAATATTCCCAATTGTCCAGTTTTCCCCACGAGATTCCTGGGACCCATATATGTAACCATTTTCCTTCAATGTGATCGTCTGTTGAAGACCCCCCTCTGTAGGATCCATGAAGCAAAGCTCCACCAGATACTGGTGAGGCTGTGCCTGCTCCTTTTCCTGCTTGGTGTTTTGTGTCTTTGGAGTTGCGTCCCGGGGCAAGGCTGCTCTCTGTCAGTGGGGTGGGATTCTGTGAGGCAGGTGAGTGGCCTGGACTCGTCCTCGCCCGGAGAGCGAGCAGCACCCCCTCCTGACGCGTCAGGCAGTCTTCCCCGGCACAGAGAGGCAGCTCTGCCTGCCCTGACGGGCCCCGTGTCTTAAACACTGCCCAGGATTTACAGAGCAGCGCTGGCTCTGCTCATTTCAGTTACGGAGAGAGCAGCCCAGGGCGGTCACCTGCTGCCGTCTCCCTCCTCTCCCTCGCTGCTGGACACCTGTCTCCAGCCGGGCTGCAGAAGAGAGTCCCAGACTTCGACCTGCTGTTCTGGCTCGCCTCTTCATCCCCCAGCCCCCCCCACCTCCTCCTCGAGTGGAGTCGCAGTGGAATTTTGCCTCCCGAGCTTTCTCAAGCGCTCTTGGGAAAAATATCTCGCGTCCGCATTTATAAATATATCAGATGATCAACACTGGTCACTCAGTCTCTGAGTTTAACCGTTTTCTTCTTTTCACGGAGCTCACCTGCCTGCAGCTTTGTTCCCTCTGTACTTCCTGGGTCTCTCCTGGGAGTCGCGCACACACACACACACACACACACAC